AAAATTGAAATATTTAGGAATCAATCTAACAAAGAAAGTAAAAAAAAAAAAAAATTATCACTGAAAATTATAGTACTCTGACAAAAGTAATCGAAGAGGATTTCAGAATATGGAGAGACATTCTTTGCTCATAGGAAAAACAAATATCATGAAAATGGTCAGTCTAGCAAAATTGTTATGCAGATTTAATGCAATTTCAATCAAAATACCATTTGCATACTTCACCAATCTAGAGAAATCATTCCTAAAATTCATCTGGAACCAGAAAAGACCTAGAATAGCAAAGGTAATTCTGGGTAGCAAAGTAAAGGCAGCAGCCATCACAATCCCTGATGTGAAATTATACTACAGTGCTACAATGATAAAGTCAGAAAGGTACCGGAATAAAAACAGACATGAAGATCAGTGGAATAGATTAGAAGATAAGACCGCAACTACAAACACACTCCGCCATCTTGTCTTTGACAAAGGTGCCTAAAGTGTTCACTGGAAGAAAGACAGCCTCTTTAATGAGTGGTGCTGGAAAACCTGGCTCTCCATGCACCAAAGACTAAAACTAGAATAATGTCTATCACCATGTTCGAAACTGAAGTCAAAATAGATCAAAGATCTTAATGTTAAAACAGAAATATTAAATCTATTGAAAGCCAAAGTAGGTGGAAATCTTGAAGACACAAGGGTAGGCAGAGAGTTCAGGAACAAAAATCAAACTACATGGGAAATATTTCACAGAATCAAAAACTTGTTTTATTAAAAGTTTTTGCAGGTCAAAAGAATACTCCAGTAGAGTGAAAAGAAAACTCACAAATTGGGAAAAATTCCAGACAAAGGACTTCTACCTATATCATATAAAGAATTTAAAAAATCAGACCCCCAAAATTCAAATATCCAATCCAAAAATGAGAATCTGAGATGAATACACACTTTTCAGATGAAGAAATACAAATGCAAGTAAATATATGAAAAAAATTCAGCATCATTGATCACTAGAGAAACACAAATTAAAACAACATTGAGATTCCATCTCACTCAAGAAATAATGGCCAAAATGAAGAAATCAACCAATGACAAATAAAAAAGAACTCTTCTCCACTGTTGGTTGCAGTTTAGACTGATGCAGCCACTGTGAAAATCAATGTAGAGATTCCTCTGAAAGCTGGGATTAGAGGTCCCATTTGACCTAGTTATTCCACTTCTCGGTATTTTTCCAGTAGAACTGAAAGCATCATACCATAGTGATATATGTGCACCCATGTTTATAGTAGTATAATTTGTAATAGCCAAATATTGGAAATAACCCAAATACCCTTCAAATGAAGAATGGATAAAAACGATTTTTTTTTTTTTTTTTTTTTTTTTTTTTTTTTTTTTTTTTTACTATGCAGTACTACTCAGCTATAAAGAAAGATTGCACCAAGGCTTTTATAGGCAGATGTTTGGGAGCTGAGACCATACTCATAAGTGAAACAAATCAGACTCACATGAGTAAATACCATTTCGTCTTCCTAGCATAAGCAAATGAAAGAGTAAAAAGAATCTAAAGTATAAAATATATATTTTGATATATATATAAATATAAAATAAATATTTTGAAAGGGTGAGAAATTGCTCAGATTAGAAAATAACTGGGATAGGGAAAAGGAGAAAAGAAAGAAGGGAAAAGAAAAAAGATATAAATTTGGATATATATATATATATATATTTATAATAACTAAGATGACTATAGTACTAATTGTATCAGTTCTTAGAAAAGAATAATTAATATTCATAGTATAGATCAAATTTGCAGGTCTATGTCTGGTAATCTAAGAAACTCTTTTGAAGGTAACAGTATGCAACATATCAATCATTGTTAAATTCCCATCATTTTGTTTTGTTACAGGGCATCAAACTCATGACCTTGAGCTTACCAGGAAAGTGCTTGAATTGCTCAGCTAAATCCCCAACCCCATCATCTTGTTTTGAAAACTGTATTATTTAGTTGTGAGATTTTGTTGTTGTTGTTTGTCTCTTTTGCTTTTTGATTTTCTTGTCTGCGCTTTTCCTTTCTCATTAAAATAAAAAAAATGGAAAGATTGTTGTGTAGACAAATATACTAACACATAAAGTGCTTAACATATAGCTCAACTTCAGTTTAGTCAGCTGATAATATAGTGTTATTATCATTGTGACCATTGACAAGAGTTAAAAGAGTACTTGGATTTGATAAAGCATGGGTTTTTGTCTCGTGTAAGGGAAATGGTCCTTTTAAAGCAAGAACATATAAAAAGAGAGTGTGAGGAGTTCAAAAGTAGAGAAAGAAACCCTGAACTATTTTTCAAAAAATGTGTCAGTAAATATAGAGGCCAGTAACTCAATGTAGATTAGTCTAGATTGGTTTTTGTCTTCTCCTTTTTTTCTTCTTTCCTTCCTTCCTTCCTTCCTTCCTTCCTTCCTTCCTTCCTTCCTTCTTTCTTTCTTTCTTTCTTTCTTTCTTTCTTTCTTTCTTTCTTTCTTTCTTTCTTTCTTTCCTTTTTTCTTTCTTCTTTCTTTCTTAGACTGAAGATAGTTGAAAAGAATGGAGGAAGCAAAAAGAGAAGGGAGGAATAACTAGCAGGAAATATGCTTTCAAATGAATATGCAGGAAGTGATTCTTTGATGAGATGTCAATTTTTAGCAATATCCCTGGGAAATTACTTGAGAAAATGTTTTTCATATACAGGCAGGAAAATATAACAAGGAATACGTTGGACTGTAGTCTCATTCAGTGGTTGATTTATACAACTCAATTCCCATTACGAAAATTATCTGGGAGTAAGTTCTACAACTAAAGGTATGACTACAGGTGTTTTTCATTCTATATATATTAGTTACACCAAGAATGATCTCAAGGAATGTAATTTAGACTCCCTATGGATACTGCAGGGAGAGAGAAAGAGAGAATAAAAGAGAGAGACAGAGAGAGAGAGAGAGAGAGAGAGAGAGAGAGAGAGAGAGAGAGAGAGAGAGAGAGGAGGGAGGGAGGGAGGGAGGGAGGGAGAGAGAGAGAGAGAGAGAGAGAGAGAGAGAGAAAAAGAATGATCGCATTTTTTCCCCTTGTGCCAAAGGATATGAAAGTGAGTAAATCTTCAGAGACTATGAGATTGCAAAACAGACGTGTGAAATTTAGATGGAAATGAGGTATGTTCCCAGGGCTCCTGGAAAATTTCCAGCATAGTGCTCAAGACAGTGCCATTATAGACTATGTATATATTTTTATTTCTTTGTAAGTCCAGTCTATAGAGTGTTCTGTTTATGATTGTTCCCAAGGATATTCTTTCTCCAAGCATTTCTGTAAGCATACACTAACTCAAAGCCAGTTTTTAAACCATATCAAATATAATCAGCATTTTCTGTGAAATTCTGTTTCATAGATATTACTGTTTTGTTTCTTACAATTTCTATTTATAATAATCTTAGCAAAGTCTTTTCAAAGATGAATAGGTATTTGTGTGTGACAGCCAACCCTAAACTTAGGGAAATAGGTGTTATTATTATTTTTTTCCTGTGCCTTAAACTCACCTTAACACTTTTTATTAGGCAATATGTTTGCAACACATCGTGATTACATTCATCTTGGGGACTGACATGTACACATATCGCACCTCATCCGTTGTTCCTTCTCACCACACCCTTCCTTCTCTACTTCCTCAGATCCCCTTTCCATCTCTAGAATCCCCATTCCTCTCTCTTACACACCTCTTTTACTTTACTCTTTAAATGACTTATATTTTGGGTCTCTCATATTAGAGAAATGACATGATGTTGAACTTTCAGTGATGAACTTATTTCACTTAGTTTAAACACATTCTGAATATACTCTTGAAACATTTGTTTTTCATTACAAGTAGAGGATTAATTGTTGAATAGATCAATGTTATTATTTTTGAAATGCTTAATCATATTAATCTATTTTTCATATGCTTTTATTATATTCATTTTAAAAAGCAAATGTTAAGATAAAGACTATTAAACCATTCTGCATTAAAGAAGTTTGTCCTGCAAGACTCTCTCCTTGAGTCAGCACTATTCATGGACTGCGGAAGGAGAGAACCCAGCCCCACAGGGAGGAGATCCCTGCCTGGAAAACATATCATTTTCATTGTTTTCTTGGGTTGAGTTTTTATTTTCTTTTGTTTTGTTTATGCTAACTCTGATGGCATGAGCAGCTATTTAAAATGCAGCAAGGCATGTTATGGAAGCCATTATGTGTTTACTTGTTTTGGTGTCTTTTCTTGCATTCATTGTTTTGTTTTTATTGCTTCAATTCTATTGTTTGATTTGATGTTTAATAAGTCCAAAGGTGGTCTCTACAGCTGTTTCGAAGACAACAAAGACATTGTGGTAACTATTGTAGATTTCATAAGGTTTGGAAGTCCTGTATCACTTATTCTGGTTTATTTTGATTGATTTTATTGTTTTATTTCCCTTGGTTTCATCCTCTTTAAAATTAAAAAAAAAAAGAAGTTTGTCCTGAGTTATGATTTCCTTAAGAGACACAAAAATGCTTAAGTCAGTGACTTACGGGCTTTTTTTGTGGTTTTCTATCTTTACACAATTCTGACTTTCTTTAAAGTAATGCAGTTTTGAATACAAAGATTTATTAACCAGAAAAGAAATAAGTCATTTGGAAACTCCACAGTTACTAAATGGGAGTATATCTAAAATGGACATATTTAAACTCGTATGACATTACTAAATAAATGATGTGAAATATAAGACCCATTTAATCTAATTTTTCTTCTTGGTATCTTGATGGCACTACTTTGAATTAAATCACTGGATATGATAGTTATTTATTAATTCCTATTTTATATTTGTTTTCTTAATATTACATCTTATTAATATTATAGTACTTCTTCATACAATAAAATGTATATGTCTAAATAGGTTATTTTCTGTTTTATGGGATTGTAACAAATTTTTTGATAATAAAAGTGTCATTTGGAGATTTATGGAAAGATTTTTTTTTTTTTATACAGAAGATCAGCACTGGAGTGAACATGAGATCACTGAACCTTCTCTGCATGGCTGGGAACCCATCTTGTGATGTGAAGAGGAGTCTCATTAGCAGCATCTGTCAGTATTGTCTGCAGAAGTCAGTAACACTGGATGAATGTATCCTGAGAAATATTTGGTACTATTTTTTAAATACTCCAATAGCTACTAATTTAATTTGTCCAAAATAAAGATTAAGTATGTATTTCATACTTATCCTAGGTTCTGAAATATTAGAGCCACTTTGTCCCTCAATATTTTGGTTTGAGTTTTATAAAGGTTCAAACTATAATAAACTGGTATATATTTCTTGTATTGATTTATGCTCTTAAGCAATTGCTTACCCATTACATGTAGTTTCAGGAGAGGGAGTTTATAAACTTCAGCAATATATTTTTAAAAATGGCTACGTTAGTACTTGCTGAAAGTTCCATTGTAGTTCAGGGAAGTCCAATTACATTGAGATAATTTGTGATGGTAATTTTACATCATAAAGCAGTTTGAAAGGTAGATTTGGAACTTGACTTGGCTTTTACTAAATTAAAATTGAGAGAAAAAAACTAAAGCTAAAATTGAGAAGGAAAGGAGTTATTCAAAGTAAATTAAGATATCAACAAAAACTTTTGATTGTCTTATTTGCTTTTATTTCTATATGTTTACAGCATTATATTCACCATAGGAAATTGGTAATGTACATAACATATTGCAGTTCTGGATTTTCTCCCCTTTTGGTACTTGTCCCTCTCCCTTGAAATAGACATCCTTTTTCAGATCTCATGTTTCCTTCCATGAGAATTTAAGTCAAAAATCATTCTCCATGAGGACAGGTTTCTTTTTCTATGTTTCTTGCTTTTCATTTTCTACTTATAGTAGTGTTAGATAAGAGTATGGCAGTTTAAATCATCAATTACAAGCGCTTCAAGTTTGTTTAGGGCCTTCTGTTCTATTTTTTTCCTTTTTATGCTCCTAGATACAACTACTTTGTACCTTATTATCTGTGGTTCTGAATAGCATTCATAGACATACTTTTCAGATTTTAAGCTCTAGTTACAAGTTTCTTAGTGCCTCTAAAAGTGGTATATACTTTTCTTTCTTTTCTGCTCTACCTCTCTTTTTTCACTTGATTCTTTCTCCCTATTCCTCAAATCATACAATATTTTGAATCAAATCAAAAGAATCAATTTTCTTTATGTTTTGATTCTGCATCTTTGGATTCAACCTACTAAAGATTAAAAATATTCACAATATAAGTTATAAATTGAATTTATACAGATTTTTGTCACTATTCAGTAAACAATAATTATAAAATTATTCAGATTTTTAGTATTATAAGCAACTAATTAGTTTTAAAATCTATTAGAGAGTTTCCATAAAATATCACATCATTTAATCTATGCAACTTGAGTATACATAGATTTGTGTGTGAGTGGCTGTACGATTGTGTGTGTGTGTTTGCGAGCGTATGTGTGTGCATATATACTGAGGGAAGGATCATAAGATGATTGTACCACAGATACAGAAGGAAGACTGTACATAGTGTTTATACTTTCATATAACTATTTAAATGCTATCCACATCTATGTCTCATATATATATATATATCAGATTCCATTATGGAGATTCCTAAAAAAAATCCAGGTCCTTTGCCTCTCCAGTGAACAGATGGTCACTGAGGAGCTTCCTGTCGCTGATCCTGTAGGCTTATAATTTAAATTTCCCAGTATAATATATGTATTACATATTATATATGCAGTATATATTATGCATGTAGTGTATATTATATATTATATAGATTTTTTTACTTCTAGAGAATTCTGACCAATAGATCATATACATTTTCTATTTTTATGTGTGGCAATTTTTCCTTTCTTGAGTAAATTTACGCTTTCCTCTTTTTCTTCTTAGTGTTCCACTATTAAGTACTTAGATGATTATCATTATTTTATTCCAAACTCATCCCTCCTTTGATTAAGTCATCTCCCATTGATTAAATTTCTTTCTAGGGTGTTGAAATTATCAGGTGGATTAAGGAGGGCATATCTCTCTCTCAGACGTCTTCCATCTTATTTCAGTCGCCCTCTGCTTTGTTCAGGGGTTTACCTTTTACTGACAACATTGGGTTGATCTTCTGTTTTCAGTTCCTATGCTTTCTATGTCACTTCATTTTCACATTCTGTTGGAACACTGCCACTGAGAGTTTTTTGAGAAAAAAGCACACGAGACAATGTCTCATATAATTCATCAATGACAATGTCTATGTATTTAAATAGAGATTTGTTATAACATTCTAGTCTAGCAAATTAATTTCTGTTGTACCTAGCATTGACAATGGAAAATATTTAATACAGAAAATATAATTTATAATACTATTTTATTGTATTTACCTAAAGTATCAAAAGCAAGAGTGCAGGAGATCTCCCCATAGAACCCACTAGACACCCAAAGAATCCATCTAGGGGTTTGGATCTCATGGCAATATCCTGCATGAGTCCAGCTGAAGACCTAGAGCCCTTGGCAATGCCCCCATGAGTCTAAATTGAGGTTTAGAGCTCAGGACAATGTCTTATGTATGTCTGTATGAAGGATCTGCACTGGGAAGCTTCAAAAGTCAGTGGTGGAAGCTAGAAAATATGTACTATTGGGATGAAAGAACTGTGCCAGCAGGCTGAAGGATCTGCATTGGAGCCAGGAGGCAAAGCTCATGGTAAAAACCAGAGCTCCTCCTAAAAGAATAACAGCCATCCTGACATCAAGGACCCAGTCTCCATTCATGTAAGAGTAGCTGAGTTCATATCAGGAAAGCTAGCGTGATAGGAGAATCAGCAGCACACCATCTCCTCCTCCAGTTCTCTTTTTATAGTGTTGGCAACAATCCTCAGGTGGCAACAGTCCTCAGGTGAGTCATTCATAGCCAGCACCAAGCTGATTCAGTTCAGCTGAGAGTTACAATTTTACCATTAGTTAATCGACCGCAACTTCCTTTAGAATTTATTTTAATAATATCACTTTATCTTGCTGTATACCTAATGACTTTCACTGTGATGTGTTCTTTCAGCTTGGAAACTCAGATCTTTCATTTATGAAAATTATCTTGATTTATTTTATGACTGTTTTTTTTTTCTCCTTAATTTTCATTTTTTTTTCCTCCTGAAATTTCAGTTATTTGCATAAAGGAGTTCCTGGATTGACTCTATGGTTTTCTTCCTTTTCTCCCCCTCTTTTTTTCTTCTATATTCCTGAGAGATTTCCTTAATCTTATGTTCCATACTTTGAGTTTTTACTTCTGCAGTCATACTAATTACTTTCAAGATATTTTACTCTGAATATTCCATTTGAGCTGTAATTCTTGTTTAATATGTTAAATATTTGCTTTCATCTCTTAATGATTAGTTAAAATTTTCTTTGGAAATTTTATTTTCTCCTGCTTAAATTATATTTCCCTAAGATCATTCAGCTAGCTCTTCTTTCAGTTCTTTGAGCTTTATTTCTTCTGTTAGACTGTTTCTCTAGATGTCTAGATATTCTTAATTATCTGCCAGTGGGGTTCTAAAATGTTTTTTTAAGACTAAGCATGTGAATGTAGCATGCTGTCTAGTGCCCTCTGGAAGTTATCTGGTGGGCATTTACTTGAGGAAATATTTGATACAGTAATCTCTGGATTTTCTTGCTTGGATTGGTACATTTCCTAGAGAAAGAACTTCTAGTCTTCTATCTATATGCTGCAGAGATGACCGCAGCTTTTAGGGAGGCACAGAGATTTCCCAAAGTGAGGAATGGGGAGGAAGTTTGTCATTTCACTTATCACTTTATCTATTATTCTTTAACATCTTTATAATTCTCCCAGTAATCCAAGCTTAAAACTTTAAAACTCTCTTAAACTATGCTTCTTCTTTTGTTCATAAAGCTATATTCACACATGTACCTTAGTTTCCCACAACATTATAAGATATTTGGTAGGACTTATATGTCAGAGCATAGTAATATGAATTAGAGAGCTAGGTTTGAATCTTGCTTCTGTCATTGACTAGCTGAGTTATGATTTTCAGCACTTCCTAGGATTTCTTCAAACCTAAAATAAATTTTATTTATTTTTTATACATGAAAATGTTTTTCCTATATTTTACAATTATTATATCATGAAATCTCATTGCTATATTTTACAACTTAGCTAATTTTATAAATTAATACTACATTTGTTATGCCATAAATATTTATGTTAAATAATCTTTAAAAATTGGACTTTACATTTTTTATCCTTCCATAAATGATTGATTGTCTTTGATTCTATATATACTAATCCTTATAAGAATTTCTCTGAATTTCCAAGATCTTTATAAATCTCTCATCTTGCCTTTCATTGCAGAATTGTTTTTTTTTTAAGTTGTGCATATCTTGAAGAGCTTTTCTTTTATTAGCAAATGCTATTATGGTTGATACATTGTGTTAACTTGAGAAGTTTAGAAGTTTAACTACAGTATTAAGTAGGGAACCAGGGTTCTTACTTTGTAGAAGAGGAGGGCAAGTAGATTTTGTGAGTCTCTCACCTGTCCTGGAGGGAGGAGCAGCCTATGTACAATGTAAGGGAGGAAAAGAGGCTTTCTCTCACTGAAACTTCCACATACTGTAAGCTAAATAGCTCTTTTCTTCCTTCTTTTGGGGTGCCAGGTATTTTGTTCCAGCAATGTTAGAAAAGTAACCAAGATAGAATTTGGTACCAGGAGTGGGATCAAAAGTGTGACTATACCTGACCATGTGGTTCAAGAGCCTTTGAGAATGGCTTATGGGAAGAGTTTGGAAAGGTTAGGAGATGTTGCCTAGAAAGTAGCACTGGAATGCCTTAGACTGTTCTTTGTGGGAGATTCTGGGCGGAGCTCAGAAGATCAGAAGGCAGACAGAAATCCTACTGATAAAGACCAGGCTCAGAAGGTTTCTGCTGGAAAGGGCTGCATTGGTTATTGGAGTTCAGATGATGTGTGTTATGGCTTGGCAGAAAGTTTGTCATAATTTTGCTCAGGTTCAGAGACTTTGTCTGAGATTAAGATTAAGGAAAATGGTCTAATTAATCTGCCAGAAGAAATTTCAAGGCAGTCTAATATTGAGGCAGTGGCATGGCTATAGTTAGGGCTTTTACCCAGATTT